TCCTGCCCCGGGTTGGCCAGCAGGTGGAGGCACCGTGGAGCTGCGTGTGCACCGTGGGGTAGCTGAACACGAGCGACCTTCCTGAGAGGAGCACGCGGTTGAAAAAACTCTACCAGCGCAGAGTCCAGGACGACCTGTGAGGCCAGAACTCGGACGTTCTGGATCTCGAAGTCGGTGCTCAGCGTGGCTCCCGCCGGGTGCGCCCCGGCGTTCTCAGACCACAGCGCAGTCGTGGCGTCCGCAAACTCGATCTCTATCACCAGGTTCAGCTGCGGCGGCAGCATCTTCCCGCAGCGCAGGATGCCCACCATGGTGGGGCGCAGCAGCACGTCCGCGTAGCCGCTCTGGTGCACCGCGCGGGGCGTCCGAGAGTTGTTCACCTCGTCGAAGCCCTCCACGGCCTTGTTCTGGTTGTACTCGCGGCCCTTCAGCAGGTCATGCACGGCCACGGTGCGGCCGTAGTAGTTAATGTCGTCGCAGCGCTGGCCGTTGGCGAAGACCTGGATCCTCTGGATGAAACAGGCGGGGTTCGGAGTGGCAGGCGCCAGCGGGTTGGTGGCGTCCGTGTTTCTGACTCTGAAGGCGATCTTGATAGACTCGGGGTCGATGAACGAGGTGCCGCTGGTCAGCGGAATGCGGCAGACCCTCGAGGTGGCGGGGGAGAAGGAGCTCAGCGTGCGGTCACGTAGTTGGTGTTGCTGGTTTTCAGCTTGTAGTCCAGGCTCTGCATCAACTCATCCGCGGCCCGGCAGCCCGCCGAGGACCTGGCTCGGAGCCCGACAGCCAGCCGAGGTTCTCCACGTAACACGTCAGCCTGCTGAATTAGTCACCGCCGATGTCACCGGTGTCTAACACGTCAGCCCGCCGAGGTACCGGGGTGGAATCGAACCTCCCAAACGTCGCTCCGGAGACCAACGCCTAAGCCATCTCACCATCGGCTTGTGTTACCGTCCCAAAACGGCGCTTTATGGCCCAAAACGCAACTCCACGCGGGCACATGGTACGACGGGGCGGGGGCACGACCTGCCCTTCGTCCTGAGCATCAACGACGTGCCAGAGGCCTGGAGCTCTACAGCAGGGCCGACTCCATATGGCGAGAACTGTGTCACTGCCGGCTTCGACGCTGTGGCAATAGTCCGCGCCAGGCCCGCGCCAGGCCCGCGCCAGGCCCCCGCACCAGGCCCGCGCCAGGCCCGCGCCAGGCCCGTTTTTTCCTTGGAGCGAAGTTGGAATTCCGACCTTGGTGGGAGAGCGAAGTTGCTTCCACTTCCTCTCGGTTCTTGCGGGGACCTACGACTGACGCCGCGCTCGGCACAGCTTGCTCTAGCGTCCCTGGACGCAGCGAGGCCTGCGCACAGTTTTTTCCTACTTGTTGCCCCAAAAAGGAGCTTGAGCAAGGTTCCTCCGGCCTCGCTTTTAGACCGAAGCCGCGGAGCCGGCCTTGCTCTCAGACCGAAGCCGCGGAGCCGGCCTCGCTTTTAGACCGAAGCCGCGGACGAAAGCTTGTGTCACGGGGCGACACGGACCGTGGGACACCTCGGTGGGCCCAAAAGCGCCCCGGTGACAAGCAAGCGGTGACAAGCCGGCTTCCAGCAGCTCTGCACCACCCTGGTCCGGGGCTCGAATCCCGCCGCGACCGGGCAAACTTTGCCCATTAATGAACCAATATTGTTTCAAGCCGACCCAATATTGACTCAAACTTGCCAAGATTTTCGAGCCCTCTACACGTTCGGCAGGTTGGCGCGTTAGACCCGGTGACAAGTTCGGCAGGTTGTCGGAGGACCTCTGTCTGGGCGTTCGGCAGGCTGGCGCGTTAGACCCGGTGACAAAGGCGGCGACAAGTTCGGCAGGTTGCCGGGTCACGAGCGAGGCTGTCGTGCTTGGGGAAAAACGGAAAATCTTGTGAAGAACGAAGTCTTCGGGAAGTCGGGAACTTGGCCGCTTTTGCGCACTTTTTCGGTCCAAAAGAGAGCGGTGACGAAGCGGTGACAAGTGGTGACAAGCTCAGCGGGATGGAACTTGAATTGAGAGCAGCGTGAGTGTGTGGAGTCTGTTTTCGGCCGAAACCGAGCAAATCTAGAGGCTGAGGCACCTCGCTTGCCGTCTGACAGGAAAAAACGAACTTTTCGGGAATTCGGGAAGTTGGCCGTTTTGAGCACTTTTTCGACCAAAAACGGAGCGGTGACAAAGACCGGTGACATCGGAAAAACGTTCAGCAGGATGGAGAATTTTGCTGTTTTGCACGGTTTTTCGACCCAAAAACCAAAATTAATTGGGTGCTATATGGGCAACCAGAGCGCACGGGTCTTCCTGGAGGGACGGCACGGAGATGGTCACCCTCACAACTCTCACCTCAAGCATTGCAAACGCTGCAGCGTCTCACACCTTGCGTTGATCAGAGTGGAGCTGGCAGCTTCTGGCCCGAAGCGAGCGCCGCTTCTGTCTCAAGCGCAAAACGCTTTCAAAGCGCCTGTGGAACATTTCGTTCTCGGCTTCAGGCAAGTGCACAAGAGGAAGCTGTAGGGTTCCCGGGTCGCGCTCGTTCATTCTGAGCAGCTTGTCCTTCGCAGCAGTGCGCTCAGCTCCGATGACGGCGTCCAGCTCGTGATGGTTGCGCAGCAGAGCAATTTTGCGCATTTCTTGCGCATCACTTGTGTTCCAGCAACAAGACGCAAAATAGCAGCGTGCGGCGTCATCGGCCACCGTCCAACGTGGTGCGCTGGCAACGAAAATAATTAGGTCCCTATAAGCCTTACAAGTTCCCACTGAGGCGGAATTCCAACTTTGCTTTTCCACCGAGGTCGGAATTCCAACTTTGCTCTCCGTCCTAGAAAAACCTCTCTGAAAAAAAAAAGGTCCTGCTGCCGGGCCACTGCCGGGCAACTGCCAAGGATCGTTGTGTTCTGGTTTCAGTAATGGCATTGTATTTTGGCGGTGCGTTGACCCAATACTCTAAGCGGTGTCAAAGCAGTATTGGCCTTGGTTATTGCGCAGACTCTGGGGATCACGATTGCGAATCTGTATTTGACGTAATCTTTGGTCGCAGTGCGGGGACTTGATTTCCCCGCCCCCCTTTTTCATTCTGGATCATTTTACGATGGCGGACTTTCTTTTCCTGAGCGACGTATTACTCCGGGGGAGACCTACACGACAACTGGTGATTTGTGGCTTTCCGGATGCTATGCTTTGCTCATGGATCCCATTCCCCAGCCGAGATGCTGGCCTTACACTGCCTGGAGACTTGGATCACCAGACACTTGGCTTGTGAGAAATGCTGCCTGGTTTTCGACACTTGGGGTGTCTTCAGGGTGGGGCCTAGGTTTCACAGGCCGTTGAGCGCGGCACAGTTGCTTCGGCTTTTGTTTTTTTGCATTCATTTTGGACTGGTGCCTGTGGCACCTGGTCTTGTCTCACCTCTCCTTTCTTTTGCTGTACTGGTTTTGCTTGAATGTGACCTTTGGGTCGCCACATTCTTGTCGCCTCCTTAGCATGTGGGAGCTCACCTCGGTGATGTGTACCCTGGCTTGGTGCATGACCTTGCACGCTTCGAATTCATCAATTTGCACCGCTTCCAAGACGCTCCTTTCTTGCCCAGACTCCTTTATATCGACCGGCGACTATGCTGTAGGCGATGTGAGGGAAAAAATCGCCGGATCGTTGTGCACCAAAAAGTGTGTTAAATGTGAGCTTTTTTCCTTTGTCAGCTCTCGGGGCCTAATGCGGGCCACTGCCGGGCCACTGCCGGATTGGATTTGCACGTGTGTCAGAAACTAACACGTGCTCCAAATCCCTTCGTAGATGCCCCGGCGCAGCGCCAGCAGCTCGGGCTTGGAACTGTTCTTGCCCGAGCTCAGACTTTTGATGGAGTCGGCCCTGCTGTGGGTGAGCGAGCGAGCAAGTGAGTGAGTGAGTGTGTGAGTGAGTGAACGGCGGGCGGCGGAGGGCTTGTGGGGAATAAAGAGAAAAGGAAGGAACAAAAAAAAAAGAGAGGAAATAACAAAAAGAAGGAGAAAAAAAAAGAAAGAAGGAAATGAAAAGGCAGAAAGACGGAAAGAAAAAAAATAGAAAGAAAGAAAAAGAAGAAGAACAGAAACAAGGAAAAACAAAGGCAGAAAGAAGGAAAGAAAGAAAACGAAAAAAGAAATAAACAAACAAAGATAAAAAGAAAGAAATAACCAAAAAAAACAACAGAAATAAAGAAAGACAAAAGAAGGAACAAAGAAAGAAAGAAGGAAGGAAGGAAAGAAAAAAAAAAAGAACGAAAGAAAGAAAGAAAGAAAGAAAGAAAGAAAGAAAGAAAGAAAGAAAGAAAGAAAGAAAAAACAAATAAAATAAACAAGAAACAAGAGGGGGAGATACCAACCCCAAGTTGGATTTAGCGTCAGTTGAGCTTGAACCCATGAATTGCGTGTTGCGACGCCTTTGATTTGCTATTGGAGAAACAGCACCACGGCTTGATAAGGTCAACATGTATCCTTGGACCATCTAACAAAGGACGAACCTCATAGATATAGGCCCAGTTTTGGAGAACGACCGTTTCAATAACATGAAGTTTGGGTTTTCGGGGTATCTGAGGAGAGAATCAGGCCTCCCATTGGCCGTCGCGTCTCGGGCCGCCATCGCTGCCATCTCCAGCTTCCCCGACCAAGGACTTTACGGGCGGGCAGTGGAAAAACTTCTGGTCGTGAAGGGGTCATTGCAACCAATTGCATCCGTTTTGCCTGGCGAGTGGCTTTGACGTAAGCGATGCAGAGGCGCATGATATGTGCTGGGTCAAAGCAGCCACATAAAGAAAGTTTCTAGACCTCAACAATTTCTGACCACGACCCACACAACAAACAATTGTTTGAACTGATGAAACCGTATCAACCCAACCAGAAAGCGACAGAAAGCGACGTGCATGTTTGACCATAAACACTCAAACACATGCGACAGAGCGTGCGCAGCAAAACACTTGCACAACACACCACGATTAGATCTTCAACCAGCTAAATCTAGCCATGAGCGAGCCTTTGAGCGGGGTCTGCTGCCCAGTCGCTGGTTTCAGACGGCCAAATTCGTGTTTCCGGCACAGACGTTTACCGTTAAAATCGTTTGTTTCGCGCCAAACCTATGTGGCTCCACTCATGAACATGACTCGTTCTACACGGTGAAGAGATCAGACTTATTAGTGTACTTTTGTGTGTCACCAAGATGTCAAGGGTGCCAGCGTTCTTCAGGTTTAGCAACCAAACTGGGTTCGTCTGAAAGTTCCGTTTTTGCGCCGGAAGCGCGCTTTCACTGAGGCGAGCCTCATCGAGAATGGCTGGTTTTTGGAGAAGAACAGCCAGTGGCGTGCTTTGCTCGTTGGTTTGGTTGGGTTGGGTTCGTTCCCCAATTTTTTTCGAAGTCTAAGAAACAAATTCCTTGGGCTCTGAAGAGTCCATGCTTCTTCAAAGGGTTCCCTTTTTGGTTTTGAAGGACGTCGAAGGGATGTGCCTGGGGTGAGCTTGCCATCGCAAGTGCTTGAGCTTTTGGCCTGGGTGTGACGGTGGATTCGAAGGGATCTCGCGGTGGTGGCAGGGGTTGATAAATCAGGCTCCATGCCTAGTGGTTACGTTCTGCGGGGTTCACAGAGTGGTTTTCCTTTACAGCACAGTTTAAGGGGAAATGTGACTTGAATGGATCCAGCTTTGGGACCCGGCTTTCGGAGTCAAGAGGGTTGAGGCCATTTTTGAATTGGATTGTTTGTGTCGTCGTGCAAACTTGGAGGCGCTCAACATGCAAGGCCGAAGTCGTGCATTTGTGCGCTTTCTTGTTGTTTTGGGCCTTGTGTTGATGCATTTGGCGGTTTCTGTGCTTCAACTATACACTCCATTTAAACTGAAGGTACCAACCTATGCACGCTTCAGCGATTCATTGCCACTGCTCGGGGCTCGCCCATTGTGGGATTGGGGTGGATTGTTTTAGGGTGGGTTTAGGGTTGGTTAGGTCGGGTTTGGGTGGGCTTACGGTTGGTCAGGGCAAGTGAACGGTTGGTGGGTGGTTGATATTGGGTTGGTTTGTCCTTTGTTATGAGGCCGTACGGGATACCGCGAATGGGGACCCGCAACAAGGTACAGAGGGTACAGAGAGGTGTATCCGAGAAACATCTGGACTGTTCACACGCCATCAACCCTTTCGTTGGCTTTAGGGATGGATTACCCTCAAACTACCTCAAACATGAGACAGTGCTTTGAAAAAGTTGGCTGGGGCGACTTCCTCGGGGGGCCGACCCGGTGAGGTTGCGGAAGTCCCATATAGCGACGGCCAGGCCTGGCCAGGCCAACGCCCTGCAGGCGGATGGGTCGGTCCTCAGAATGGCCGTTTTTGGTGGACCAAGCCTGCCAGAAAGGGAAGCCAAACAAAACCATGGTGTGTTCTGCCAGACGGCCAGTCGGTCGTTCTTTGACCCTTTCGCTTTAACTGTTTGGGGGTCCCAAGAAAGAATCGATGCGGGGTCTGAAACCAGGTCTAGGGAAAACCTGAGGGAAGGCGTTATGATTTTTCCCGCACAAAGAGTTTGGCTAGAAGTGGAGCCAGGGGCAACCAACCCTTGGCCTCGGTGAAGCCAGAAGGGACTGCAGGTGAAGGAGGTGCTCCTGCACAAGCGCACCAAGTTTCAGGACCTCCTGGTCTTTGTGGTGGCCCCAGCTGCCCATTCGGCTTTGGGCCTGGGAAGTGTGGAGCATTGTTGGCTCCGGCTTGGTGGGAAACACCGACTTTGCCGTGCAAGGCACATTTCGAGGGGAAGATGCCACAAAAAAGCGCGATGGGCCACAAGGAAGATGTCCATGAGCCTTGCTGGGGTTCAGGGTTCTGATGCGGAGCGTTTTTTTTCTTCTTTTTCCATTCTTTTTTCTCCTGCCGACGGCCAAGGAATCCACGAGTCACGGCCATGTGATCGTGCTGGCAGGTGCCTCAGGATTTCTTAGACGCGACTTGCTGTCGGGTCTATGCTCCAGAATCGAGATCCACGTTCCAAGGACTATGCTCGTGAAAGCAAACATCCACGCAAGTTCGTGGTTAGGATCATGGTGGGTGTCGTTTTTTGGGGAACCCCCTCCCAAAAAACACACAAAACAAACAACAAATGGGTGGTCGTGCTTTTGGCTTTCCCTTTAAACCACCAAACATGGGGGCTACCAACTCCACAAATAGGGGGGGGGGTCTGGCATGTGATTCACAGGCTCCGGCTCGCTCCGAGCACTCAGGATGGCGTGATCCAAATCACCGAGCGGGACGCAGCTTGGATTGGACAAGGCTGACACCCCGAAACAATGCAATCGAGGAAAACGCAACCAGGGCATTCCTTCGTAGATGGCGATTCCTGGTTTCAGGTTGGTTCAGTGCCATCTATTCCTTCATAGGTATGTTATCATGAAGATATCATATGGTTGTTTTTGGGAAATCATCTGGAAGATTCCGACGCCTCAGGCAGCAGGCACAGCCCCCCCGTTTGAAGAGTGCTTTTCGTGGGCTTCATGGTGCAAAACCCAGCCCGCTGGAAAATCGTCAAAACACCAGGCCAGGACAAGCGAAGCCTTTAGCCAAACTTGCAGCTTTCAGGTATGTCCTTTTTCAAGCGAAAAGAAGTGCAAGGAGGACTTCCGCAAATCACTCCTTCCTTCTTCGGACTATTTTTCTTGGGCCACATAGCAAGCACCCATTTCGTGATGCCCTCTTTTGAGGGTTTGTCTCGAAGGCTAACCTCAAAACTGGTGATTTCGCTTTGATTCCCCGAAATATTCCCAGAATGCCCAGCAACGAGAGCCAAACAGACGCACAGAGACCACAGCATGGGTCCATTCGATTTGGAGACCCCTTTTTCTTGCTCAGGAGATGTCCTACCAGGAGATGCTGACGCACCTGCCAATGTTCTCCGTGGACAATCCCACGCAGGAGCGATCCCGGGGTAGGCGAACTTGCCGGTGTGCGATGCTGCTTTCGGATGGTTTGAAAAGGGAAGGTTTGGAGCCCAGTAATTCGGAGGCGTTGAGATGGTTTCCCATCTACCATCAACAAGAACAGGTTCAAGTTCCATCCCGAACCGCCAAATCCCAGCCATCAACTGAGGCTTATTTGAATGTGCTTTGGGGGCACGGCACCTTCCGTACATGACGTGATCGGCGATTTTTCCTCCGCATGAATACTAATAATACCAATAAACATGATACTACTACTACTACTACTACTACTACTACTACTACTACTACTACTAATAATAATAATAATAATAGTAATAGTAATAATAATAATAATAATAATAATAATAATAATAATAATAATAATAATAATAATAATAATAATAATAATAATAATAATAATAATAATAATAATTTATGTTAATTCAAGAGTGCTTTGTGCCTTGTTTCTAAGAGCAAGCTTAAGCGGGTGACGTATTTCGTAATTACACAAATGTAAAAGGCTCCGTAAAACAAAGTTGCGTATATACGTAAAACAACATGACGTAAACGCAGTCTGAAGGATTGCTTCTTTGTGTGTAGATAGCAAGAGGTTCACACCATGTTTGCCATTTAGTTTCAGACTGCTTCCCATGGTTTCTGCGTGCAATTTCAGCTTGTGATAGTGTCATGCTTCTGATGCAAACACTGCCTTTGAGCAAGGCAAACTCAAGTGTGTTTCATGTGAGATTCGTTAAGGATAGCAACATCATGTAACATCATGGATAAGTTTGACTGCGTGATCCGACGTGTTTCACTCGACCACACTAAATTCCATGTTTGGGAGACTTTGCGTGGGGAGTTGCACGATGTTACCAGTTTTGGCCCAAACATCACAAGCCCCCTTAGAGGCCATCAGCCATCAAGGGAACAACGTTAAGTGTTGTGTCAGCGCTTGCTAGTCTAGTTGAGGGATGTTTGGGGAGATGTCTGGGGAGAGCTTGCTTGACTGAACTGGGCGGGTCTTGGGTCTGATGATTTGTTTTTATAATTCCCACCGACGCTACAATCCGGAAAGCGAAGGCGGCCCAACTCATTTTGTGAAGTGTGAGGGTCCTTGAATTACGGCTGCAAAAGGTGCGAGTTTCAGTAGGCGAGCGGCGAGAGCTGTGATATTCAATTTGTGCGGGTGATTGAACCCTGGTTGCAATGTTCAGAGATGTGTCACAACGAGAATCATAAGCTCGACGTGTTACAATCATAACATGCGTCGCTGCGCCGTAGATGCGCCCTGCTTGCGATGGACGGTGATGCTGCCCTGGCTAGACTTCACTTTGTTGACAGGCAGGTCAACAAGACCCGGCATCGCAACCGCGCAGCTGCCCGCGCGGGCAAACTGGCGGCGGCGCTTCGCCGAAGGTTTGCTTCGGCCACGCAGCATGTGCACAGCAAGATCAAAGAGCACAACATCAGGCATGCGACCCGGAACCAGGACATCATCCCTATCGACGTCAGCGTCAGCGTCAGCTGGACTGTAGAGCATGGGCGGGAAAAAGATTCGCCTTGAGGCGCTGCTCAGGACCGGCTGCGGTTTTGAGCCAGATTTCCTATTCGTTGAGCCCGAACGGCTTGAGTTTCTATATTGTTGAGAGGCCACGGCTTTAGGCACACTTTTGATGAACTACGCAACATTCATTTACGTAATATCGGCAACAATATTTACGCAGCCCTCGAATTACGTTAGCCAGCATTTACGTCAACCATGTGAACACATTCTTAACAAAGGCCTTTTGGGTTAAGATAAATAATAGTAATAAAAATAATAATGATACATAATAATAATAATAATAATAATAAAAAATAATAATAATCCATAATAATAATATTACTAATAATAATAATAGTAATAATAATAATAATACATAATAATAATAATAAATAATAATAATAGTAGTAGTAATGATAATAATGATCGTAATAATGATAACAATAATATTAATACTAATAATAATAAACATAATATGAATAACAATAACAATAACAATAACAATAACAATAACAATAACAATAATATTACTAATAATAATGATTATGATGATAATAATAATAATGATGATGATGATGATGATGAGGATGAGGATGAGGAGGATGATGATGATGATGATGATAATAATGATAATAATAATAATAGTAATAATAATAACAATAATAATAATATTAACAACACAACCCGACGGCAGGTGCTCATCATCGGGGGCGGGGATGGCGGAGTGCTGCGGGAGGTGGTGAAACACCCCTGCGTCCAGAAGGCGCGCGCGGAGGGGAAGGAGAGCGAGCGCAAACGTGGTTCGGAGGTCGAAGCTTGAGCCTGAAGTTGGAGGGACACCAAAAGGAAAATAGCACATTTCTCTGGGCTTCCCTATTTTGGCACAACTTGGCGTGGCGAATCAAACAGTTCTGGGCTTTTGCTTTTTACGGCAACCTGGAGTGGGGCGTGAGTGCCGTTCTTCATGTTTGTTGCAGGGAAGCCGCGCAGTCTACAGATTCCGTTGGGCAGAAACTGCTGCTCACTTCAGAGCCGCGAAATTCTCCAAAGACCACTTGAGGAATCTCTGAGAATGGGAAAGAACCCGCTTTTGGGGTTGCCGTGCATTCGCAGAGTAAGCCATTTCACACTTTTCGGGTGCTTGGGACTTGGTATGTCTGCCAGGTCACTTGGTGCGAGATTGACGGAGATGTGGTGGACGCAGCCAAGCGATTTATGCCCAGTGTGGCTGTGGCTGTGGGAGCGTGGGGGGATGGGGGGCCCCAGAATTCGGAGTAGTGTTGGCGAGAAACTTTGGGGGTTGAGACCAATTGTAAACATAGGGATCCTTGAGGCAACCATGACCATGAAACCTTTCTAGTTGTTTAATGTTGGCATTCTTTGCGACAAGAATGTGTCTTTGTGTGCGGGTATCTTGTTTTTTAGCTTTTAAAGGGACAATGGCCGAAGCTTTCACTTATAGCCACATTGTGTTTCTCCGGCTTGCAAAACAAAAATCAACAACTTTTGCAGGGGTCCGCTTGACAGACCTGGTCACCCGGAGTCTACAGTTTTTGGTTGTCCTTGAGAATGCGCCCGAAAACCTTCAGGCAGCACGCCAATGGCGCCCGAGGCGCGTTTCCAGTGCAGAGCAATGCCGCCTTTGGCAGTTTTGGTTCGCAATGCCCTTCAGAGTTTGGTTTTCCTCATGGCCTTCGCAAGGCATTTGGGTGTGGCTCAAAGAGCAAAGAGCCTTTTGGGATCCGCAGGTTTGAGTCTTTCCATTTACCAAGGTGCCAGTTTGGGATCCATTTATTCGAGGCCGCCATTTGATTACGGCAGTGTTCGCCCATCAGTGTCCAGCTGTTCTGGTTTTAAGGAGCTTCAACGGGACAGGATCCAGTCCACCTCGCTCTGAATTGACCTTTGCCCCCGGCTCCCACCTCGCATCCCACCATTCAGACCTCCCAGCTCGCTGGCTTGGCTTCTCACTGCTTGACCTCTTGAGACAGGAGATCCCAAAGTGGAGCTGCTGGTGGGGGACGGCGTGGCCTTTGCCGAGAACGCCAAGGCGGGAAGTAGAAATTGCGGGAAGCAACCCAGGTCTTGGTCCCCAAGGAAACCGCCGGCTGGATGTTTGGGCACCTGGTTGCAGAATTGGCGAAAAAGCAGATCCGAAAGGTGGGAAGGGCGGTAGTAGATCGCTTGTATCACAGGACCATCAGGTGTGTAGCATCCTGGAACTCCTTTGTTAGAACCCATTTAGGGTCACCCAAATAGCGATCTGCTTCCTTATTCGGGCGTCCCTCCATTCCTCCACCCCTCCATTCCTCCATCATTCCTCCACCCCTCCATTCCTTCACCCCTGCATCCCTCCACCCCGTCATTCCTCCATCCCTCCACCCATCCACCCATCCATCCCTCCATCCCTCCATCCCTCCATCCCTCCATCCCTCCATCCCTAGGTGTGCAGGATGCGTCATACATGCATACTTGCCCTCATGCATACGAGCATGTATGCATACACGCATGCGGGCACAAACGCATACGTACATACGTATAAATCGGCACCACCGATGCTCCTGAATATGGGTCGTTTTTGGTGACCTGCAAAAGCGATGGAGCATCGGCCCTTTTTCATGTGGGAAAGCGAAATAACTAACTCAAGGCCAATCACTTCCCATCGCTTTCTTCTTTCTTCTTTGTGCACCTGATCCAGAATGTGACAAAGGATGAGGTTAGAAGAAAGAGATAGAAAGAGACACAATATAGGAATATTTGATAAAGGGATATGCCATCAGAATACTCTAGAGGTTAATGATGGCGTGCTCACATCCCTGTATCTCACCAGCCATGCCTGTGCGCAGGTTTGAAGGCTTTAGGCATCACTTCGCGCATGCAACATTTCTACGGCCGGGAGCTTCAAAACAATGCTCGGAGAGAGCACAGTTGCTATATCTCAAGTTTGTTTTTCGCCTGTGAAGCTTCCAGAGTTTCCTGCTTCAAATGATTGTTTTTCAGCGAGCTCGGGTCCAAGTCGCAGGTGCCAGAGATCTTCCGGCTGGGCTCAAGCACTCGCCGGATTGATTCGCAATATTTTCATAGGGGCCTCGCAAAAGCTTCAAATGAAAACATAGATAGTTGCGAGCACAATTCTTTATGCATGTTTTCGTTTTTTTTTTAAAGCTCGTTTTACCATTCGCATGTTGTCTCACCTGTTGAGGGGCATGCGGTGGGGGGAAACCGGGGGTGCACGCGGGCAAGTTCGGCTTACAGCTGGCTCGTTCTTTTGTTTGAGTCCCCCCTCTTGCCTCCTTGGTGGAGGAAGGGGGGGGGCTGGTGGAACCTGGTCTGGAGATCCCCTTGTGGGAATACCAGGCCAGGGGGTTCATTGAGGAGGAGTTCGCGGAGGAGAAGTACGAGGAGAAGAAGAAGGAAAGATCTAGGCTCTGTGGGATACCTCCTGAGGAGGGGGACTTGAGGTCCGTGGCCTGAGGCCTTTATCCCGGAGCCGAGCGGCGCTACCCGGCCTCGCATCTATGACAGATGCCCGTGTGGCGGAGCTGAAGGATGCGTGGGCCAAGAGAGGTGGAGATGAGGCGACCTTCAACGAGATGTTGGGTCGAGGAGTGGACCCGATGAGGACGGCCTGGATCGCAGGTGAGATGGTGAGGAATGAGCTGATGGACCTGGCCGAGAGTACTTTATCCCCCAACTGCCTGATTGAGTACCAGTGCTGGGATAACCATTGGCGTGATCAAGGCCATTCACTGCTGCAAGTGGTGGATTGGTTCAAGAAGGAGGATCGACTACTGACGGGGCGTCATCTGATAGCATCCGACGGCTACTACCAGCACTACGCGGAGGAGAGCTTGAATCTGGAAAGTGGTGTGTATCACCTTTGCCAGGGTCCAGCCCGGAGCTGCCGCTACCGAATGCCCCGTGGGAGTGCCCGAGAGCTGGTACACATTGACAAGTGGCGGCTCCGACTCCTGGAGCAGGTGATCAAGACTGCCTATAGCAGTGGTGTGGGGCTCCGACTCCTCAAAGATGAGGGGGAGAAAAGAGAGCTGCCATTGGGCAACCTGCCATTGCCGGCAGCCCCTCAGTCGGGCGAGGGCCCTTTGGACCAAGCCGTGAAAGAGAGTAAAAAGGCGATTGGTGAAATGGAGGAGTTCTGGAGGAATGAAGGGGAGAGAGTTGACGAGAGAGAAACGCGACCAAGGCAGAGGTCTCGGTCCCGTCGTCGGAGGCGAGGTGAAGATGATGAGTTGGGAGATTTGGTGCAGCAAAGGATTAGGGCGGAGAGATCCAGGAAGAGAAGCGCGAAAAGGACCCGCTCCGAGGACCGAAGGCACAAGCGAAAGGAGCGGAGGAGATCGAGCAGGGACTCGCGCTCTGAGGATGCGCTTTTTCGCGTGGCCCCCGCCCGGGGGGGGCGAGATGTTCAAAAGGTAGCAGAGAGGGAACCCGGGAGGCTGGTGAAGGAGGCTTTGATCGAGATGGGCCGGTACCTGGAAGGGAAAACTGGCGAGGCAGGCGAAGAGCAGTGGAAGACAAGGAAGTTCATGGCCTACATAAACCAGATCATGCTTGTGAGCCACCCCCCTGGAAAGATAGGGGTGCGAAATCACAGAGAGGTCATCACGGTCGGGACCGCACTGGACCTCATCCTAGAAGGTCGGATCATGGGCGCGGCCGACCTTCTGGTGCAGAGGCTGAAGGCGCTGGAACAGAGCTTCACCGACAACACGTGGGCAACAGCTCGTCATCAAGAGCTCATCCCGCCCAGCGCGGCTTCCATCAGCGGGCTAGAGGAGCGCGATTTGGCTATGAGGGCGGAGTTGAAGGCGGTGAAGCTCAAGGAAGCGCTGGAGAAGCGGAAGAAATAGGGGTGGGGCGGCGGGCCAGATCCCATTGTGGAAAGGCCCGTGACGCCACCCCCAACCGATCATGGAAAGGATCGGAAGGTGAGTTTCGAGGGTGTGGAGGAAGAGCATCCTCGGGCAGGAGCCTTGCGAGGCGTGAGGAGGCCAGGAGCGGAGAGGAGGACCGACGAAGGGGGTCGAGGCAGAGGCAAGTCTCCGTGGAAGACACAGTGGGGGAAAGGAAGAGGAAAAGACCAGAAGAGGCATGTGGAGCTGAAGCATCGGAGCCCGACCCCGAGGAAGGAGGCGATGAAGGAGTGAACAGCCCACTAGAGGGGGACACTGAGGCAAGTGAGGCGGAGATAGATTTCCGAAGGGCTCTCAGTGTCCTGCAAAAATGGTGTGGCGACAACTCTCCTGCAAATTTGTCAGCGGCTCAAATGGGAATCCATTTGCTCCTACAAATCCACCATAGCCACAGCGAGCTTGGAAATTTTCTGGCGGGCGAGATGCTGGTACCCCTCGAGAAGCGGCAGGAGGGGTCCCGAGCGAGGGATGTCCTGCCACTCCTCCAGATAGAAGATGCCAGGAAGGCTGCTGGGCAAGTGGTGGAGCAAGGAAAGTTCAAAGGAGTGAGCTGCCTGAAAGGGGGCAAGGCAGCCAAGGAGATGAGACGAGTGGGTTTACTGGTTTGGCATTTTCTTGTGGTTGGTGCCCTCAACTTCCTGTGGGGTGGCTGCTCTGGCAGCGGACCCCATGGAAGTGGTCTGAGGACGGCTCGAGGTGAGGAAGCGTCCCAAAGGATCTGGAAGGCTGTGAAAGCTTTCTGCGACGAGAAGGGGAGCAAAACCGGTGGGGTGCCGAGGACTCCCAGTTTAGACTGGAGGGCAGAGTTATCAAACATGAAGCTGTCATACCAGGGAGAAGTAGTAGAGAAGGCCCGGCCATTGACCCTGGCTCAGATTCTGGATGGGCTGCCTCCTGTGGAGTTTGGGGCAAAGATCAACTTGTTGGACGTGGTGAGCCCAGAAATGAAAGAGCAGCTGCTCAACCCCGAGGCTCTACTGCTGGAAGGTGACGAGTTGCCCCCAGAAGTTCCGGAGCCGCGAATCCATGCAGAAAAGGATGAGTGGCATAAGATTTGCCGTGCCCTCTATGAGAGGGGGCTGGTGAGGCCCGTGAAGGACTTTCCCGTCCTCGACGGTCAGACGGTGGTAAACGGAGCCTTCGGAGTGGCGAAGAGTGGGAAAGTCACAGCAGAGGGCCAGGAGGTGCTGCGATTCATTTTTGATTTGAGGGCAAGCAACTCTGTCCTTCGAGTGATCGAGGGGGACATCAAAAGTCTCACAGGCGCGGCGGCTTTCCAGAGGATTGTCCTGGAAGATAGCGAAGTCATCCGTCTCTCCGGTGATGATTTGGTGAGTGCCTTCTACCTCTTCGAGTTGCCACCCGTGTGGTCCCCTTTCTTGGCGTTGAGGGGTGCCGTACCTTGGCGCGCCCTCGGGATTGATGAGCCGGGGGAAACGCACCTGGGGGCAGCGGTACTGCCGATGGGATGGAACTCAGCCGTCGGGATCATGCAACATGTTCACCGGAGGCTTGCCCTTGAGGGCCCCCCTCGTGGGGGTGGGCTGCCATCCTTGCTGGAAATTCGCAAGGACGCTCCGTTTCCTGCCCGGTATGATGGATGGCACCCGTGGTCTATTTATTTGGACGACACCACTGTGTTTGAGGTACTCGAGAGGCAAGTGGCAGAGTCACTGGTGGGCGAGCCGGCAGAGGCCCAGGAGAGATTGAGGCGAGCCTACGAGTTTTGGGGCATACCCCGCTCGGATGCCAAGGCCCTGAATGGGGTGGCGCGAGCAGAAAGGTTGGGCGCCCTGATTGATGGGGAGGAAGGTGTCCTTCGAGGATCAACAGAGAGGGCGCTGTACAACCTATGCCTCGGCAGTTGGCTTCTGAGCCAGAGATGGGTGGACCGAAAAGCCCTCCAGATTTTTGCTGGGAAGGAAGTGCATACCCTGCAATTCCGCCGGCCGCTGTTTTCAGTCATGGACGTGATTTGGAAACAGATTGCCAAAGGAGGAGAGCAAGTAGTGCTGAGTGCCGACACCATCCAGGAGATACTGTTGTCGGGGAGCCTTCAGCCAATGCGGTTCACCGATCTGCGGGCCCAGCTGGACCCCTGCGTCACAGCCTCTGATGCGAGCGAACAAGGAGGAGGGGCCGTGTATTCCAAAGGGCTATCGCGAAGTGGCATCGAGGAAGCCCCAGAGCTGATGCGTGGAAAGGATGAGGCTGGAGTGGATGGACGACCGGCTGTGGTGGTTGTCGATTAGCCGGATTGCGGATTGGCCACCTGATCGTTGTGGAAAAGGATCGGGATTGCCGACGCCTCCACCGAAGAGTGTGGCCCTTTGGCGACGAAAAGGTGGACATCACCAAAGTGAGCAAGAAGGAGTTGAGGACCATGTTGAAAAGGGTGCCCGGGCTCACCGGGGTGGTGTCAGGCGGAGGGAGTCCTTGCCAAGGCCTGTCGCGCCTGAGCAGCGAGCGGAAACACTTGGGGGACCCAAGGTCCGCGTTATTTTTCCAGCTGGTGGAAAAGATGAAGTGGATCGAAGAGCTGGCGGCGGAGATGCACATGTGGTGCCTGTCCTTCGTGGAAAATGTGGTGGTGGATGATGAGGATGTGGCAGCAATGATCGAAGCCTTAGGATGGACGCCCATTTTGGCGTGTTCCAGGCACCTCTCCTGGGTGAGAAGGCCCAGGCTCTACTGGTGCCCGGTGAAGCTCAGACCCCGAGTTGGGGTGAGTTTCAGGTCACTGGTGGAAGTGGTGATGGAGAGTGAGACGGAGCCACTGGAGTTGGTGTTGGACAAGGGCTGGCACTGGCCTTGGGGAGAGAAGGATGGGAGCGCCCGGTGGCCGACGTTCACCAGAACGATTCCCAGGCACAGGCCGCCCCCACAGCCGGCAGGCCTAAGTCAGTGCAGCGAAACGGACACACAGAGATGGGCAGCAGATGGATACCGGTACCCGCCCTACACCTATCAGGAGAAGTTCTTGGTGAAAAACACGGATGGAGTACTCCGACCTTTGAATGCAAATGAGAGAGAGCGGCTTATGGGGTTCGAGCCGGGCCACACAAGGGCCATGAGCAAGAAGGACCCAACCTCAGCTGAGGAGAAGGAGGCATGCGAGGTGATGAGATGCGCTGCTGTGGGGAACGCCTTTCACTGCGGTGTGGTAGCCGCTTTGGTAAATGGATGGTGTGCAGAAATGGGGGTTCTGGAAGCCATCAGCCCAAGGGAAATTCAGCAGGCCTTTTATGAGGTGCTGAAAACAGATGAGAGGACAGTTGAGGAAGAGGATGACTCAGAGGCAAGTCATTTGGACACCGCCGAGCGGGTGATGGAGAGCAAGGTGGAAGAGGAAAGAGCGGCTCTGCGAGGAAAGGCGTCCTTGGTCCTGCCGGTGGAGCAGACTACAATGGACCGGGATTTGCCCGCCTACCTGGTAGAGCAGTTCTTGCGCCGCGTGGAGTTCCGCGGCTCCGATGTCCGATTGGATGTCGGAACAATCTACAGGCCAGATTGCTTCCCACGAGCAGCAATCGACGTGTCCCGCTGGAAGTGGGCTGTTTCACAAGCGTACTCTTGGGTGCACCAAGAACACATCAACATTTTGGCTACTTGCAGGCTGTGAGATGGCGCTGCCGTAGGCCTGGTGGTCACTCAGTGCGGTTTCTGCACCTTCTGGATTCTCAAGTAGTCCTGGCCGTGGCCACGAAAGGGCGTAGCAGCAGCCGACGCCTGAACAATGTCCTCCGCAAGCTCTCCGCACTCTTGGTCGCGAACAACTTGTACCCTCTACTGGCTTGGGTTGAGAGTGAGCTCAACCCAGCTGACGCCCCGAGTCGGCTAAATGCCTAAAAGGCTGGCAGTCAATCGCGCGACTAAGAGTGCAAGAAAAGCGGAGAGAGCAAAGCTTGGCAGTTTGAGACAGAATGTTGTGACCCACCAGACTAGCACCCGGTACGCTACCGTTTTTCTCGCCTTCAACTTGTTTTTGGAAACGTTTCCTTCCTTGCCGGATTCCCTGGAGGAGCTTGACAGGAAGCTGTGTGCTTTTGTAGAGAACCTGTGGCATGAGGGTGATGCTAAAAGCGTTGCCACCTATACTGTCGCGGCCGTTCAACATTTTATTCCCCAGGCCAAACGACACTTGCCTCAAGCCTGGCAGCTTTTGAGTGTGTGGAACAAATTGGAAATGCCTTCGCGGGCCACCCCCTTGACGGCAAATATGGCTTTGTCTTTTGCAGGGGCTCTGCTTCGAATAAAGCAGACACGGATGGCCCTTATGGTGGTTGTGGCTTTCGCTTTGTTCTTGCGCACGGGCGAGATGTTTCTGCTTCGCAGAAAGGATGTTCAGTTGGCCCCTTTCAACACAGGGCAGCATGTCATTTTCCTGCAGGATACCAAAACTTCCCAACGCAAAGCGTCCCAGTTGGAAAAGCTGATTCTGAAAGATGCCACAGCAGCTGAGTGCTTGGCAGCCCTTTGTTTCGGCCTCCAGCCCAATGATTGCTTGCTCCAGTGCACGCAAAAACAGTTCCGAGCACAATGGAGTAAGTTGATTTCCCATTTTCAGCTTGAGGCTTTCAATTTCCAGCCATACAGCTTGCGCAGAGGTGGAGCCACCACTGCTTTTAAAGAGGGCGCTACTTTGGATGACCTTCTCATCCGGGGGCGCTGGAGTCAGGTCTCCACCGCCCGAATCTATCTAGACGAGGGCCTACAACAACTTGGGCAACTCACCATAACCCAACCCTCCCAAGCCCTTCTGTTGCGCGATCGCTTGTTCTTCCTTCGCTGTAAGCCAGGAGGGAACGCATGGAAAGGGCTGTGATGGCGCACAGGGCGTGCGCGCAAGATTTTTGAATCTGCCTTGTTGGGCCTCTGTCCTCTGAGGGGTTAGAGGCCTGAGCAGGTAGGTGAGTTGCCATTTACACCTGGCTCGGTACCAGCATAAAAGCGCGAAGCCGTGACCCCTGCCCCCCCACGCATGTTGTCTCACCTGTTGAGGGGCATGCGGTGGGGGGAAACCGGGGGTGCACGCGGGCAAGTTCGGCTCCACCGCCACCCCGCCACCGCTGTGATGGCGCACAGGGGGTGCGCGCAAGATTTTTGAATCTGCCTTGTTGGGCCTCTGTCCTCTGAGGGGTTAGAGGCCTGAGCAGGTAGGTGAGTTGCCATTTACACCTGGCTCGGTACCAGCATAAAAGCGCGAAGCCGTGACCCCTGCCCCCCCACGCATATGTATGTCATGAACAACCCCTCTCGCTCTACATAGTTGTTTTTGTTGTTTTGTACAGTTAGGCGAATTGGTATTGCATATGATGTATCACACATATACAATGTAATTCTACCAACTTCAGATTACCCAGAATCATATCATCCCAGATATACCACCTATGCCTGTTCGGGGCTCCGCACTCTTTTTTGGGTTGTTTCCAAGGGACGCCAAAAGGACATCGAAACCGACTCTGTGGGTCCATTTCCTCTTTCAGAAGCACGAGTAGCCCAGCCAGCGGCTCAAGTTTGCAGCCACTCGATGGTTTTGACAGACTTGACACCTTCCCAAGTTGTCAATCTTCAACTGGATTTTTCGAAAGCTCCTCTCACAACTTGCAACTGGATCCCCGAACCTGGCGGCATTTTTGGGGCCCTCACTTCTAGGTGCATGCGTCTACTCAAAAAGAACTCACAACAATGACTGTCACATCTTGTCTAGAAGCATGCTTGCTTGCAAGGATCCTCTCAGAACCAGCAACTGGATCCCCGAACCTGGTGGCATTTTTGGGGCTCTCACAATTACTTCTAGGATCCGGTGATGCAGCCCCTTGGACTCAGAATGGCAGGAGAACAGCTACGACGTCATCATCGTCGACTCCTCCGACCCAGTGGGACCTGCTGAGAAGCTGCGCTCCGGCGACAGCGAGGGGTCGTCTTCGTTTCTGGGGGGTTAGAGGTGGCTGGGGTCTCACTCAAAGCTATTGTATATATTTTTTGGGGTAGACTGGTATATGACACGGAATCTGAACATTTTGGTTTCTACCTTTTGTACTCCTGACATAGGCCTCCTTTTGGGTGAGTTTGCTTGACAAGTCACGGATTCCACTGTCAGTTTGGTTCTTATCAGCTACTTTTGCCAGCGATGTTTGCAGAAGGACACCGAGGACCGAGGGCGGCGCGTCTTTTTGCTCGCCCGGTTTTGGGGTGAGCCGGGGCAACCTTGTTTGCAACCAGCCTAAAGCTTGTCATTTGCCACTTGCGGTTCATCTGTGCGCTTGTGTGTTGTAGTGGTAGGTTTGGATTGGTCCAATGATCAGTGTGGGATAAATCATTCATTCGGGTTTGCCTCACAATGAGAGGACCCCACAATGGTTGGTGTCCTTTTGGTTTGCCTTAAAACCAATGAACAAGGGTACCCTCAAACGAACGAACGAACGAACGATCAAACAAACGAACGAATGAACGAAAGAAAGAAAGAAAGAAAGAGAGAAAAAAAGAAAGAAAGAAAAGAAAGAAAGTAAGAAGGAAAGAAGGAAAGAAGGAAAGAAGGAAAGAAGGAAAGAAGGAAAGAAGGAAAGAAGGAAGGAAGGAAGGAAGGAAGGAAGGAAAGAAGGAAGGAAGGAAGGAAGGAAGGAAAGAAAGAAAGAAAGAAAGGAAGAAAGAAAGAAATAAAGAAGGAACAGATAAATATATATATATAAAAAACCAATACATAACTAAGTAACTAAATAAATAAATAAATATATAAAGGAAGAAAGAAGGAAGTAAAGAAAAGACAAGAAAGCAAGCAAGGAAGGAAGGAATCAAATACAGAAATAAACAAGAAAAGCACAACTCCCATTCGTCAATGACGGTCATTGTCCTAGAACTCCTTGTCAGCTTCTACCTTTGTTGGAAGGAGAGTAGGTCCATTGCAGAAATGTCAGCAAGCACTGCCATGTTGTCAGCAAGTGAAATAGATAAATCCACCAGACGGGGGGAACCATCCCTGATTCATTTGGAACGGTTACTCTAGGATTTTAAGTTCACCCTCGATACTGGCCCAAAATTCACTTCAGCACTGGAAAAGCAGACCACTCCCATATCCAAAACCTGTGATATTTGGGCAGCTGCCACTTTACAACACAACCGTATTGGGGGCGCGTTTCACCCTTTCTCCAGTTTCAGCACTGGGTGACATCTGGGTGTGTCCTTTTAACTTTTTTGCTTCTGGTTTCCCCTTTAAAACCACACAAAAGCGGTTCCAACTCCCAAAAACGAGAGCATTTCAGGTTTTCCAAGGAGTTCTACGTGCTGCTTGGCTGAACTGCCGGTTGCTTTGAGCCATGCGTGGTGTACATTCCATGAGGACTTTCCGCTGTGCCCTGTTGGATTTCGTGTTCCCGTGCTGTTTTGTGCCGCCTTTGACGCCTGGGCCCAAGAGCCACAACCTTGGCACCTCTCCACGAGAAGGTTGTGGGAATGAGGGGCTTCCCAGATACCGTGTGAATGCGCCTTTTTGTTTCTTTTTCCCCCAGTGGTATCACGGTAGGCAGCTTGGCCTCGTTGGAGGCTAGACATGGTGGTGTTGGTTTGAAGGGACAACAGAAGGAGCACCGCCATGGAGTCCGAATTCGTGTGGCTGTGGGTCAAAACCAACGGTAACAATTTGGGGTTCCATTTTAGTGGGGATTGGGATGTTCACTGGGGGTATGGGCTTTTGACCCGGGCCATATTCTGAAACACCCAGTTTTCATTTGACCGACCAGGAACGCCCACCGCATCTTGAAGCCGGGAGGGGTCGTTTGCTCCCAAGGGGAGTGCGTCTGGCTCAACGAGGCAAGGTGCGAAAGACGTATGTTGCATGGATGGTGGCAAGAGTAACAAGAAGAGGAAGAAGAAGAAAAGAAGAAGAAGAGAAGAAGAAGAAGAAGAAAAGAAGAAGAAGAAAAGAAGAAGAAGAAAAGAAGAAAAAGAAGAAGAAGAAGAAGAAGAAGAGGAAGAAGAAGAAAAAGAAGAAAAAGAAGAAGAAGAAGACGACGAGAAGAGGAATAATAAGAAGCAAAGAAGAAGAAGAGAAGAGGGGGAAGAAGAGGAAGAAGAGGAAGAAGAGGAAGGAGGAACAGAAGAAGAAGAAGAAGAAGAAGAAGAAGAAGAAGAAGAAGAAGAAGAAGAAGAAGAAGAAGAAGAAGAAGAAGAAGAAGCAGAATAATATCAAGAGCTAAAGTTAGTTCTGAAGCTCCTTCTTTCCTGCACTGTTGCTTTTGGTTTGCCTGTGGCATTGCCGGGCTTGGCACGGGGCATCGATTGCCAGGGGCTGATTGCGACGATGGTGAAGGACTATGGCGTCGATGCCCCAGCGGGTCTCGGTGCCGGTGGTTTTCCAGGGCTCCTTAAAAGATACATTTCGCCCATTTGAAGCATGGCTTCTTCCCCCAAAATAAAGGGAAACCACCATTTACAGGGCAATGTTCAGGTGTGTAACGTAAGGATCCCTGCTTGCCTTGGAGCGGGCAACGGGTTTCGCAATGAAGCAACAGCCACGAGGAAACCGGACATGGAACGAATCCATCGGGGGTGTCTCTCTTTTTTTTTTTGTTTTTCTCGTTTTTGCTTTTTTTTCTTCCTTTTTTTGAGGGCCGCTACACATTTTGTTCCAGCAAGGGACGCCCTGATTTTACCAGTGCTTTTCGTTTGGGGGCGGTTTTGCCCACCCGGGGCCCAGGTTTTGGGGGGTTGTTGCTTTCGGGCTCGAGGGCCAACAAGATCTGACCTGTCAGTTTGCCAACATCCCGGCAGAGCTTCCCGTGGCTGTCGAGGGGATCCAAGACGGAAGCCGAGAACCAGTCGGCCAAGTCTTGGCCAGGATTTTTGGTCTGAGACTGCGTGGCTTGCAGGGTTGGACACGTGGTGTCTATACAAACACACACACACACACAGCTACAACTTCCAGGAGGTTTGTTAGCTACACTGGGGTCTGAACATGTCAGTTTCAATGAATGGCTGCACAGTACCTTGCGGGTATCCCTGGGTTCGTGCCTGATGGTTCACCATGAGCACAGATCGCGTCAGGAAGTTTGGCGCTGAGACTTGTCGCCTCCCAAGTTGTTTGCCAGTCTAAGGCTGGATCCATTCAAGTGTTGATTTTCTTCTGCGAGAATCTCAACATTGCCAAAACATTGTTTGTTTCCCTTTAACAACATGGCCGTGGGTCAACACCAATGGTACCATTTTTGGGGTATGTGCACCAATTTTAGCCTATTTTAGTGGTGATTGGGATGTTCACTGGGGGTACGGGCTTTTGACCCATGGCCACATCACTTAGAGATGCTCAGTTTAAGGATAAGATTAAACAGACCTACCACGCTGCCATCCATGGCCCCTTGACTGGGCTGTGGTGATTTCGCTCGCTCGAGGCGTGCTTTGCATCGGCGGAGTACGCCAGTATTCAGGCAAACTCCTTGGGCAGATGGAACGGGTTTCTGGGCTGGATTCGCTGGTTCTTGTGGGTACATGAGACATTTCCTTCACTCCAGAATCCAATCCACCCCGAAAAAAGGAAACCAGGGAAGGCATTTGGTTCCCGAAAAGGGAAACCAAAAGGCGGTTGTTTCAAGCATTGCAAATTTCCCGCATGAAATCAGAGCGAATCGCCCAATGACAAGCTTTCAGTTGGCTGATTTCCCAAGCTTCGCGCGTTGGTGCCACGATTCGCTTCGCGAATTGGAGCGAGCTCCACTCAAAATTTGACTCGAGGGTAGTAAGCAACTATGTAGGTGGCTTTCACATGGACCAACGACTGCCTTCACCCAACGTGCCTTGTGAGCATTTTCCACAAGCACATCTTCAGAAACAGGATTCGCCCAAACACGGCTTGTTATTTGTATTTACTTCGCACAATATCCCACAGACGCACTCAGGAATGCTTCTTCCCAAAACAGAACATGGCGCGGTACCAGAATGGCCCTTGCACTTACCACTTCTTGGGGCCTTAGGATGCATTTGGCCACCAGGCAGAATTGCTACCTGACGGTTCCAAGAAACTTCTCTGGGTGGCGTCGGTTATTTGTTACCTTGGCATCCCGGGCAACGTTTTTTTTTTTTGGGGTCTATTTGAAGGGGAAAGCAACTGGGACACCACCCAATTTTTTGGTTGTGCCGTTCGGAATTCTGAAATTTGTTTCGGAAGTCTTTGGTGGACGTCGCTTGCTTGTTTTTCAGGGTGTTCCAACCATGAACCATCCCACCAAGAGCTGCCCAGTCAAGAAGCTTGAAAAAACCGAAGCCCACTTTGGCAGTTTCCAGGCTACGCCCGGGGTATCAACCGACAAGCCCCAGGTAGCCCTAAATGGGCATGAGTTTTGAGTAGGAGCCCTTTTGTTGGACATCATTCATGTCCACCAACCACTTTGGAGGTGCATCCAACTCTTAAGATTCATGGCCAAATTAGGCCTTGAGGGGTTCATGGGTGACATCCCCGCTCATGTGCCCGCTTGGTCCATGGATCAACGCTAGGTGCCTACGTACCCCTCGGGCCAGATTGGTGCTTTCCTGGCGCGGAAGGCGACTGCTTCTGGAGGCTTCGCGGGTCTCGGCCGCTTCGCTTGCTTTGCTTTTGTGTTTCGGATTGTGTCAAAGGGACCTCAATGGGCAGTTCAGCATGTTCATGGCTCCGTCAAAAACCACGTTCACCCTGGGTTCCCCCTGAAAGAACGGAGTCCCACTCAAATTGGACCTTGATAAGTGGAGTGTTCGTGAATGTGAACACTGGGGTGTTAAGCCACTTCCTGTAACACCAACAACAATTCCCTTCAAAATGATGTTGTTGAAGGGATGGCCTACTTTGACATCACAGAAGGACCGATTCTCTAAAATGCAACAGAAGGTGGAAATCTTTTGGTTTGGTGCTCTTTGGTGAGACCCGCCGATCCCTTTCTCCTTCAAGATGGTTTTGTGTAACCCCTGGCGGCAAACAGTGGATGGGACTTCAGAGGAACTGCAATATGCGTTGGTTCCCTACTAGCTAGCAAACAGGTGTTTTCGTTTTGCAGGTCGGAGACCAACCCAGGTGCAACCATAAATTGTTTCCCTTTTGGTTTATCCAAGCCACCCAAGAGGGTCGCTCCCGCGGAGAATCACGAAAAGGGGGTGGCAAAGAAGTTACACAGACTCATGTGAGTTTAGTGGCTTCCAGTTGCAAGCTAGTAGGGCAACGAGTTGGTTCTTTGTTGCAGTGACAAAAATGGGTTAACTCTGAAGCAGTCAGCAGTCATGACTGGTAAATATTATGTTGGTTTTCACTGACGCCAAACATGTGGAAGGATGCGTCACACAGCCCCTTGACCTGAGCCTGACACATGCCGAACCTCCATTCTTTTGGTGGTTGTCATTTTCGTTTCCCTTGGACACCAACCAAAAAGGGCTCCCCCCAAAAAAAGAGAAGAGACGGATGTCGCTTGCAGGCGAGGTTTCCTGCCGCCACCCTCGGAGGGAGTCGGGGCCGCGAGGGAAGGAAGGGGCGCCGGGGTGCAATTTGGGTGTCACGGGAACTCAAAAATACATGTGGCTCAAAATCAAGCAGGAGGGGCAAACCGCAGGTTTTGGTCCATGTTCCCACTTGCCAGGGTTCCATTTTGGTACCGGCTGTTTGAGCCGCAGCCAAATGGGTATGGGGAAATTACACCACCAGGATATGAACCGCAGGTTTGTCGTCCTTGGTTCCAGTTGCCAAGGCAATCCATTTCGGGTACCTATGTTTGACCCACCAAGTGTTTCAAAGCAGACCCAAAACGGGTTCAGAAAGAGACACAGCATGGACACAAAGTGGGATACAGTGAACATGGACTCGAAAGCAGATATGCGCAAACTTGTGATGGGGTAGGAACTTCACTTTTTTTCTGGAATTTGCACTTTCGTGGGTGCCAGGGTAGACACCTCATTCGTACATGTATCGTAGTTCCTGCTAGGACTGCAAAGATCCTACGTGTTTCGGCTCAATATATTTTGTGCCACTACCAAAGGGGGGGAGGGTTGCTTTTGGACCAGCAGCGTTTTTCCGTTTTGTCCACGGAATGCCTAAGGGGACTATGACCATGAGGCAGAACCACAGGGGGGAGACCTTGGGTGTCTCTCATATTGCCTGGAGAGCTTGGTATTGGGTGCGTAAAGTCACACCCTTCCGGTTAGACCAAAAGGCAGGTGCCCATTTTCAGGGATCCAATATTGATTTAACGCGTGTCACATTTCCAAAGGGGGTCTAGTACCTGATTACCCCTTGTGAAATGAAGGTAGGCCTTTTTAGTCCCTATCATCTTGGAGCCCAAAGTGAAAATGCCTTGGGCGCCGCTTCTTTGCTGCTTGCGGCCCATTGGATCAACCAACGTTCGCCCTGATTTGTTGATGCGTACTCATGAGGCGATTGGTCCAACCAAAAGTGACAGTCAACTCGCAAGATCTTTTTCAAGGCCGGAGGCTATGGAGCTGCGCTACTACACCCCAGAGATGCACGCGCGGAGCCCGGGTTCGGGGGGGGGGGGGCACCAAATTTTGGACCGAAGGATCCAGCCTCGTGTGGCTGACCTGGTCGCTCAAAAAGGGGCCACTCGGCAACTCAGTCTCCGTTTGGCAAGGCGTTTTGACGGTTTGTTGAGTCGGAGCCAGCAAAAGCGGCGGACGTTCTACATGAGATTGGCCGGAGCTTCTGACTTTTTGCGATGGAACCTGCCAAATTCTTGGATTCAGAGAGACGTCTGAGATGAAGTCTGAGCTCTCCGAGTTGTGATTCCGATTCGCGAGTCATAGTTATTTACCCAGATGAGCCACGATCCACACCCGGGTAGATGAAGGTTAAAAACGAAGAACCCCAACCGCTGCCTTTTTAATACCAGGGTTTGATGATTTACCCAGATACCACCGCGAAACACCAAAGAGTTCCTGGAACAGGATTCCCGGAAGTAACCCACTGACCATTCCTCATCTCACTCATCTTTTGGAGAGCTTTTCCGGCTCTGACACATTTGTGATTGCATTTGAAGATTGACATTGGGTGGTCATTTCCGACTTTCTCAAATGTGTGTTCAATAATTGCTGTTTGGGCGCATTTGGCCTGCTAGAGATGCTCATGATGCAGGCAGGTGATGCTAGGAATGCAGCATATGCTGCTGGTGATGCTGGTGATGCTGACTCATTTTTGCCAGCAATGCAGCCAGTATCTCGCGAAATTGACTCGAAGCTGTTGACTTCCCTGCAGCTGCGGCAACCGCGAAGGTTCTGGTACATGTTCAAATCTTCGATGTACATAGTTTTCCCGCATCTTCGTTCATGCCAGCAAATCTTTCATATAAATAAAGCGCTCATGCAAAGTCTTGCGCTTGTCCAACTTACTTTCGTATCTTTTGGCAGAAATTGCCTGCTCTGCTTCTGGCTTCTGCCAACTCATTTAGTGTTGAGGTAGATTCCTGCTTGCAGTTGTGCCGCGAATGCTTGTTTAGCAACGTTGATAGTGCCATTGACTTTCGCTTGCCCAATTTCATCCCCACCCCCCCCCCCCCCCCCGACGCAAAGCACCAGCCCCAAACAGTCGTACCTGAAGCCTCTTGCCTGGCAACACCCCTATGTACCTGAAACTACCTTGCAAAAATATCCAACCTTTACTCCTCGCTATCTTTCCCTTTTCATATCTACTCAGCTCGCTTTGTTATTGAAAATAAGGATTCGGTGCGCAGACTACATCAGCCACGGGGTCAAACCAAAGAAGCATCGAGCAAGCATAGGGAGCCCACTCCATATAAACAAGAAAACACATACACAAATAAACACTCCAATTATTGCATACCCCAAATAAAAAAATCAACAAAGTCGCAATGTTCAATTTTTCGGGTGTAGTTTGAGGATCGCAGCCTCACAGAAACGACCCAAAGAAACGACCCAAAAGACCACCTTCGGGAAGGCCGCAGCCTTCGCGCTGCCTGCCTTTCTGAAGCGACGACTGGAGGTGCAGGCCAGGGAACGTCCGGCTGCAAATGGCGTGGGTACACAGTTTTTTTTCTTCTCCTTATTATTCTAAACACCTCCTTTCCTAGTCAGGGGTTGATGGATCATACCCTACAAGTGAGAGTCAGACGGTGAAATCGGTTGATATGATACCCTACAAGTGAGAGTCAGATGGTGAAATCGGTTGATATGATACCCTACAAGTGAGCCCAGTCAGACGGTGAAATCGGTTGATATGATACCCTACAAGTGAGCCCAGTCAGACGGTGAACAGAAATTCAGTAGATTGCTTGAGTCTGTGTATTCTCGCCGACTAGTTTTTGGAAAGGAACAATTAAAATAGGGGGAAGCCAGGGCCAAAACGGGTACCCCGCTGAAAAAGACAAGCCACCTTGGCTTCTTTTCAGAAAAAAAGAAAGAAACAAACCATCAGGGTACTTCGGTCGGCTCCCCGAGCTGAGTCTGCCGTGCGACCCGTCCCAAGAAAGGACACTTCTTCCATGTGGAGGACGCATTTTGTGGGGTTCCCCAATGACCCTTTTTGCAAATGGACGGGGAGGGGCTATATTTTTTAAAGAGGGAAGTCTTCCAACCCTCTCCTGTCCGGTGCAGAGAGTTCAACGGATGGTTTTGCAGGCGACGAAGAAGCGGCGCCTGTCTTGGGATTGAGCGACTTGCTCATCCGGGAGGTGAAGCCTAGGGGACATTCTCCTTGCCTTTGGATGTGGGTGGAAACCACCCGGGTTTTGATTGACTCGTGTGTGCGACAAAGGCGGCTTTTGCCGGCGCCGGGTGCCATGCTGGGAGTGGGGCCAGCACTTTTGGGGTCCCAGGCAGCGCTTTTGGTTTTCGGGCTTTGGATGGCTTCCGACCATTGGCATCGAGTCCTTTCAAACCTCTCTGAAAAAACACAGTGAGTTGTTTTTTCCTCTTTCTGGGGACCTCCCCCTAGGAAGGCTTTTAGAGAGCCTTTCATGGATCGGGGCATGTTTTTTCTCGATGGAAGCACGGAAGTGGGCCCCGAAAGTGTGGTTGACTCGAGGACCATCCCTTTTCAAAAGGACTGCCCTGGCAAGATCAAGGTTGGATCTTATCTACCACTGTGCTCAATTGCTGCTTGCAACTTGGCTCAAAGCGCGCACCACTCACATACCCAAAGAAGAGACGACTCGGCCGTTCTCTGATTCCCTCACGTCTGAAGGCTCCGATCTTATGCATCTTATGCATGTAATGTGTATATATTGATTGTAGAAGTGCCCTTGGATATGGTTGGCTCTTCCACACGCACACACAGACTCAGCTCCAGAACAAAAAGCGGACAGCGATCGGTACAAATCCCGCCCCAGATGGGAAACTGGCTGTCGCTCTATGGCTGCTGCCCACCGGATGTACAGACGCATTGCCAGACTTCAGTGACCATTTTGCCCTCTTTTGCCATGTGGCCATGGGTCAAAAGCCGAATCGTACCCCCAGTGAACATCCTAATCCCCACTAAAATAGACTAAAATGGGTGGTGCACTTATCGCGAAAAGGTACCATTGGTTTTGACCCATGGCCATGTTGTGTTTCCTTCATTGTGAGCCACAATCAAAGCCCGGATAGATAAAGGTTAGTCAGGGGTAATCCCAACCATACATGGGTGCAGCCGCTATTTTGATTGCTTATCCATGGTTTTGGGTCGGCTATTTGAGTACTGATCGGTTTTGAGTGCTGTGGGTGGACGTGCACCATCTAAGAAACCCGGGAATGATGATTCCTGTAAATACCGTTTCCTATGGTTGCAATTTGGTGCCGGATTCCTGCACCACCTAAGAACCCTGGAAGGATGATTCCCCTGGAAATACCAACAAACAAGGCTTTCCCATGGTTTCAACGCGGTGCGAAATGGATTTCGTCCATCCACAGTATGACTCATGTTCCCTAAGCAGACCGTTGCTGCAGGACAGAGGACCACGAAGAAGTCCTCGAGTCGGTTGGACGTGTGACTTGGATCTTGGCGCGGGATGCGCGAAGCGTCGGATGTGTTGCTTCTAAACCAGCAAGGATTGATTGCCAGGCACCCCCCAGCCTGAAGACTCAGCGATCCAAAGGGCAAGCATCCTGCATGTCTCGAGATTTGCCAAGACTGGCAAGCGAATCTTGCCGGCCCCACACATGGAATCCAAAGCTGCAATGATGGAGCCAAAGCCTATATACACCTTGTTTGTCTTGCTGTTTGCTTCTTCAGTTTTGAAACATACCGCAAAACCATCTTGAGCTGGCCAAACATGGAGAAGAAAAGAACAAGAGTGAGAGGGAGAGAGAAGGGCCGGGGGCGAAGGGGCCGAAGGGGCCGAAGGGGGCGAAGGGGAGGAACCCTTTTCAGGTGAGCCAGAATCAAAACCCGGGTAAGTGAAGGTTAGTAAGGGACGATCCCAGCCACACATAGCTGACATCCGCCTTCTTAGTTCTTGAAGCATGGTTTTGGGTCGAGCATTTTTTCGTACAGTTTTGTTTGTGGCTCAGGTTGGTTCCGGGAAGCGGGCCATCTTATCCCGTGAGGCCCATCTCCCGGTGCACGAGCTGACGGACTTCCGGTACCACGCCGCCATGGGCGGCCACTTGGACATTTTGACGCCCAAAGAAGGCGTCGCCATCCTCGCGCTGCGCCAAGGCCGCTCGACAGGGGCCAAGGAATGAGTCGGCCAAAGAACCGGCCCGGTTTTATATGACTGGTTTTGGTTTATGGGTTCACTGGATATATATATATATATATATGCGCTGTCAACATGCCAGGTGTTTGGTGGGAGGCTGTGCTCCAAACTTTGCAGATTTGCCGCGGGTTGTTCCCCCCTGTGAACCATTCCCTTCAACGTGGGTAGTACTGACCTAGTAAGCCAGGGGTCGATTGTTTTTCCAAGCACCTGGTCTTTGGACTCTGGGAACATGTTTCTGCCACTTTTGTTACGGTAGCTTTGACAGCCATCCGTGTTTTTTCTGGTCTCCCCTCAAAAGGAAACCAGAGCAGTGTTTTCCCACCTGGAGATACTTCGAAGGTGGGTAGTTGAAGCTGGCCCACACTTCCGCGTTGTCCTTGCCACCAGAGTAACCTGCAGATTTGCCCACATCTTGTATGGGATTGGGGAAAAGGGAGCACTTTCGAGACCAGAGGTTTCGCTCCGAACCGTGGACGTGGGGGTTTGGGAAGACACTCCTCGAAAGGGCCTCTTCCCACTTCCATGAGAGGGCAATGTCGACTCCGGATTCAACCCGGCGTTGTTTTTTTTGGGTATCCGGATCCCCTCCAGCGCGGGACACCCTTGAATTTATCGCAGCCCGTTTCTGGTTCCCATCAATGGCAATACTTGCAGCTTTCAACGTCAGTTCTTTTTTCGGTTTTGGACAAATCACCCCCTAATAAATTGACGGTTTCGGGCACCATCAGGGTGGAGCCCTTAGTTGAACAGCACTTCTTGGCTCTTGGATCATTTTTTTCCTTTTTTTCTTTCTTTTTTTCGGGTATTGGTCAATTCACAGAGGTCCGTTGGCAGCCACCCCCCACAGAGAGAAAATTCAACTGCGGAAACTACTATTGTCGGGTATGGGGCTCCTCCTAAATGTATCTTCTTTTGCAGATTGACATGGAACCTCTCTCACTTGTAGAAACCCGAATGTCTTGGTCACAGCCAGGACCTTTTTGGGTTTCCATTGAGATCAGGCGCTTGGGTAAATCCATGGCAGGGGCTCGAGACTTGGGCTTGAGCATGTGTGCACGGGTCGTGCCAGTGGTCTATGGCTCGCCCAATGGCGAGGTTGAGACCGGCGCGCATGAGCACCGAGCCGCAGATGGCTCTCTCCGGGCTCCGGTCGCGCGACTGGACGAGCGGAGCTTGGAGTCAGCGGAGTTGCAGGAGGTCAGGCGCCAAAACCCGACAAGCGCGGCTTCTATTGAGATCCTGGAGAAGCTCCCCGGAGATAGTCCTTGCAGCAGCGGACGCCCCTGCGTCCTACCGCACAGCCTGCCCGCTGATGAGCTCGGCGGGCAGCCAGAAGCAGAAGTGAGAGATGCAGACGTGGATGCAGACGTGGATGCAGACGTGGATGCAGACGTGGATGCAGACGTGGATGCAGACGTGGATGCAGACGTGGATGTAGGTGCGCGAGAGGAGGATTACGCGCCAACGCGGAACCGATCGTTGCCTGCAAACAACCCAGGAATGAGTCACGGTGCTTCCACTGGCAGGAGGCTGAGGTTTTCGGACAGCGTCCAGTCCCCGCCTGAGCCAATTGAAGCCAGGACCGACTCCAAGAGTTTGAACCGCAATCTGTCGCCAAAGACTGATCAATTCACGTCACAAAGATCTGCGAAGCCATTCATCCAGTGCATCGAACAGATCATGGCGAGCTATGTCCTTGACCGCTGCTCTGATGGCCGCAGCTTCCGAAAACGGCTGATGTCCACCTTCGCCGTGCCCGCGGCCTTCATTCTCTTGCTTCCCATGATGGCCCTCTTCCCGGTTCTGCCGGCATTCCCAGGGGCGGACCAGGGGTTCTGGCTGAACTGGGGCTTCAACTTTTTGGCGCACCCCTGGCTGAACTACTGGCCAGCGCGCGCCGGTCTGGAGCTGATCCTGCGAGGCATCGAGGAGCAGCACAAAAAACGGCCCCGGATCAGGTGGATCGCGACGCTGGCGCCGATCTCGGAGCCGGTGGTGTGTTTGCTGATCCACTGGCTCGCAAGCTTCTGGGGCGTCTACCCCGTGCCCTATGCGGTGCTCACCTCTTGCATCCCAGGAATCATTTGCAGCATTTCAATTGCATACTGCCTCCTTCCGGCCGAGGTTTGCACAACAGCCTTCCGAAGATATCTTCTCTACAACGGCATCACCTGGAGCTTCTTCATCGTACAGATCATCGGCCTGCTGTTTTGGTACGCCATTTTTCCGGAGCTTAGCAGCGAACAGCAGATGCTCAGCAGAATCGGGGTCACTGTGAGTGTCATGTTCTTCGGATTTTGGCAGGAGTTGGCTGGCGACTACTTGCGAGTGCCAGACATCTTGACTGTGGGGCTGAGGGTCCCCATGATGTTTGCGAAGTTTCTCTTCTCCGCGTCTCTCCTGGCCAAGGCGAAGGACATAAATGTGGTCCTGTCCATTCTGCTACTGGATGCTGGCCACGCTTTGTTTGCCTTTCTTGAGATGTATGGCAAGTTGATGATCGCGGTGGGCAGGGAGATGCTCGCTACGGACGAGTTGGAGATTAAGAACTCGAGGTCAAGCTGTTGCCGATGCAAAATTCGCCAGACCTTCCGAAGCGTTCTCCATGTGCATAAGAAAGTGGGCTTGCGCGAGGTTGCAGAGAGAATGCGGTCCACCCTTCGAGCAGTTGAAGGAAGCACCAGAGAGTCCCTTCATTCAGATGAGATTGACTCGGTGGATGCGAGGCTGCTCAATCAGCTCTCCCGTTCCCTCACCCTGTTCGCAGCGGTGGAGATGTGTGAGATTTTTGTTCCCGCAACCTGGATGGTAATGTCCTGCACTTTGCAAAGCAACGTGTTTGGACACAACCGACGGTATTTCTTCGGGTTTGCCGGCACCACAGATGAGCAGTTCCTGGAGGGGATCTTCAACAACCTATTGTCACTGCTGGTGGAGCTGATGCTTTTGTGTGCTGCGCAGGCGGCTTTGTTC